TGGTAGGTGTCTTTACTAGTTAAATTCGAATTTATCTTCACACCCTTCTATTAGTAGTATGGTTGGATTTCAGTCAGACTAATCGTGTGCCTCTGAACTTGAAAAAAAGCTGTAAGTTATCCCATTTATTTGATCCCCTGTTACGTCTTCCAATTACTTTATTGATAGCTACAAACTGGACAATGTACGCAGGTACAATGGCTTAGGAATGATCCTCGATTTAAAGTTGAGATTCAATAAACATATTGAATCATGCATCAATAAAACTAAATCGCGTCTGAGGTTTAAAGAATTCTATGGGTCTTATATTGTCGAATGGTTATGTGTTGCTCTTGTTCGACGAATATGGGAATACTCGTCTATAGTTTGGATACCAAGTTACAAATATCACATTGAGGTGAAGTGAATTGGTGCAATGAATCAGCTTATAATTTTTGTGTTACGGTGCCTAGCCTGGTGTTCTTATTTCGAGCTTCGGCCTTATGAAGATAAATTTATGCTTATTGACCTTGCCACACCGGATTCGGCCTGCTAGATGTTGTCTTTATTGTTAAATTGATTAAAGGTATAATTTCTTCCCCGTTTTTGCTTCAGAGAATCTTGGGGGGCCTACTAAGTTAAGTTAGTTTTAAATTGAAATAATTAAATATAATGTATTCTGAGCAGACATGACGAACTCAGGGGTTTGTGGCATCCCCTGAATGAGGTGCGGTTGTCAAAAGGCAAGCTTGCAGGAAGTATAAATCAGGTAACTTCCGCGACAGTCCGAGCGAAAGACGGTTCATTATTCCTCTTGAACAGCATACAAACGAGATTAGATGCCCGCATGAATATAAGTTCATGTTCTAACTCTAAGTCACGGAGTAAAATAATATGAAATAATCTAAGGAATTCGAGGAAATGAATTGAAGAGCCTATCTTGCAATGCTTATTGCTTTATATAATCCATTATTATTAACATTTGGTGCGCTCGGGAGTAACATTAGTTTTAAATTCCTTTGCTTTAACAAACCACGTCATCTTATGAATCGAATCAAACTTCTTCCTAATGACCAAGAGTACCGCCTTGCGACGGGGCACAGGCAAGTGACCACGAATTCGTTCCATGCATAACGAAAACGTCCCAAGAAACTTATTGCGACGACGAGCCTATCGCTCACTTAGTTTACTTCCTTTTACCAACGGCGGAAAAAATCCATGGCCATATAAATAAACAAACGAGTGGATAAGTGTGATCAAATCCGTTTGGTTTAAACTACCCAATAACAAGAAAATCTCTGTGGCTATCTTTCGCATATTATATACAAGCGTAATGACTTACTCTTTTGTGCCTGTAGTGATCATAAAAGCGAAAGGTAAGTACAACGTTCAACAGCAATATTCTATGATTTCCCTTTGTGGCTATCGAAAAATTAAATAAAAAAACCGTGGTTTGTTAACCAAGCACTGCTTAGGTACTTTACAGAGAGAATATACCATACCATAGACTGGCTGCAGTTACTACTGCTATGTGTGCAGGTAAAGGTGCATTTACGTACATAAAGCATAAATGCATATACATATATTACTTTAAGGTGCTCGAATTGGAAAGGTTAAAAGTTCAAGTAACAACATAGCTTGTTGAGAAAAGTTATGATGTTAACCAAGCAAAAATTAAATGATATCAAGGTAAAAGAACAAAATGAAATAAAACACAAATTAAAAGCAACTGTGAAAGTCAGCATCATTTTGTTGATAAATATTCTTGGACGCAATATAAGAATGCATTGTTGAGTAAATTCATTATCAATCGTTATTATTAAAAACTTGTTTCACCAATTACTACTTACTTAAAATAACCCAAAATGGCTAGTGATAGTAAAATTGCCACTAACGATATAGAATATCCGCTTATGTATATGAGATTTACGCTATGTTTTAACTGAAATTTCAAAAATATTGTAGAAAATAATTAATTTTACATTATTGTGTCGAAATATTAATTTCTTATAATTGTTGTTGTATTTAAATTGTAAATGAATACAGTGTATAGATGCGCTGATGGTACATACCTCTAAATCATCTATATTAACACATTTTGTATAATTAGACCATGTCTTGTTCGTTAACGGATGTCTAAACCATTCGCCATCATGACCACATTCTTTATGGGCATATCCTGTATTTATTTATGAAGAATAAAAAAGAAAAATAATAACTGGGAAAACAGAGAAAAACATCTCAAATAATTGATAACTTTAGATACTAATCTCAGGTGGAAGAATATTAATTCACAAAAAGATTTAAATAAAGCCTTACAGGATAATAAAATTACTTATGTAATAATTATCGAAATGGAAGTCGCGAATATTCATCCATTATTATTTTATACCCCAGCCGCACATATACAAGGTCACTTTTTATTTTTTTCGAAAATGTTCATTTATCCATCAGTGCCTACTTTGTCCTCTTCAAAATATGAATATATTCCCTTAGATATAATACACTTGTGCCAGCACTTTTTCCAATCCTCCAAGCACTTCTTATATGCGTTTTTTGGCATGACCTCGGGCTCTTCCAGTTATGTGGTCTTCATCTTCTTAATCGTGCCAAAATAGTGTTCTTTCGTAGGTCTTTTAACTTTAGGAACAGGAGAAAGTCGTGGGGAGTCAAATCCGGTGAAGATGGTGGCTGAGCCATGATTACGGGCCTTTTTTTGTCCAAAATATTAAGAACAAGCTGTGATAAAATTTGGAAAGTGATCTTTTTTGCGAACAATCATTTCGCATTCAATTCATTTCAATATCATAATGCTGTCAAATTTGAAATTTGTTAAACTCTTTCGAGGTATATAATAACCAGTGTACCAAATAAGAGGTGACATCGGAGAAAATTCCCTATATCCACATTCAGTTTATTCATACCCACCTAAAGTGGCACATCGGACTAGCTCACCGTATTCTCTAAGCTAAATTCTTCTTTAACTGCATCGTAAAGAATCTTTCAATAAGAAGGGTAAGACAATACAATACAATAGCAATTATTTCACGAGTTGTGTGGCTGCTGGTGTAGACCCAGCTAAAAATAAACGCCGATCATATCTGCGGAATTGAATTCAAAATAACAAAAGTGCCTGTCAGAGAGTTCGATAGCGGAAACCATTCACTGTAAAAGTTGAATTACTAGCATTTTCAAAAATGTGTGGCCCAGTTACGCCGAACTCTCACCAGACAGATTTCCTCGTTCACTCACACAAAAGCAGACGAAAGTTGCTTTTCTCGCTCAAAATATATTTACTTAAAAATTCATGGTTTTGTTGAAGAATTTTTCACCATCCGATTCGTGAATATACTGCAAATGTTTTTGAAAGCCTCCTAGTTTTTACTTATAAATCGTCAACACAATAGCAGCCGAGTGTTAGAAGCTCAAAATTTCAAATTACGCATGGTGCTGGCTCGCTCTTGCACTAAAAGAATCTATTCTAAAACTCTTGTTACACCTCTTCACCTTGGAACTAAATGAAAGCGTGACCATCGTTACAAATCCGCACGAGTACTCGAGAAACTGCGACAACGAAATCAGTATTCGCGTGTTTAAATGTCAGAGCGATGTAGCTGAACTGCTAAAGAATTCATTTATCGTCCACCACCTCTCCATCTCTTTTTCTCTCTTCCGCTTTTGCTGACCAATGTGCTGCAGCGCTGCAGTAATTTATAAATAAATCCCATTGTTCTCCATATACAAGCTAAGCTTTCATCAATACGTTAGCCTTTCCTTTTGTCAGTTATTAATAGATTTTTAAAATAGTTCTATGGTTAATGAATTGACAATTCTTTCGGGTCCTATGTTGAATATCTATTCACAGCCATAAAAGAAAACCTACATTTCTTTCTTGTGAGTTCACCAGTACACCGAATATTTTTACTCATAATAACTGAAAAAAGTGCGAGAGTTCTGGCCTATAACGAATATAAGTATATCCGGATATGATATCTTTCCATAAAAATTTTGGATTTAACTATGTCGATTTACTCAAATGTATGAAATTTAATCCTTTTTAATTACAAAATTATGCATACGCTGCAATATTTGGGTAATAAACTTCAACTCACGATTATTATAATTGTGCCTGATCATAATTATTTAAACGGTCGTCTAGAACGCTCTTTATTAGCACTGTAGTAAAAAGAGGAAACCCTTGGTACTCGATGTTAAGACTGCTATTGACTCGCGTAAATTTTCTATTATATCTCACTTTTATGTAATGTGCTAATATATTGGACCTGAAATGGGTTTTTTGCCTTATTAATGCAATAATAATAATTTCTTGCAATCTATTCATTAATCACTTCTTTGTTACTACTATTATCCACAAAACTGAGGTCACCCTATCGGGTTTACAAATCAATTATTTGAATACAAATCGCAATGTTTTTCGGGGAAATAAAATTGTCGCGTAACTATTTACTATTTCAGCTATCAACTGTTTAAATACACAGAGACTCCTTTCCTTCTTTACTTTAATATTTTTTTCTTTATCTGAGAGTTTCTCGGTCATCCTCAATAACGTAGAAGTTGTTTTCCGCCCTATCTTTATTTCATAAATAAAGATGTGCATTATGGCTAAAATATTTCGAAGAAAAGAAACAAAAAATAAAGGAATAGTAAAATCGTGGCGCTGTGATAGTGAAAGTCATGTCGGAGTTGTGTTTTCAAATAATCTCGTTCGGCGACTAACACACAAATTTTATATTTTTACACAACGAAAAGTATATTAGATTTGTTTTGCGATTTTTGTAATCCCCCAAAATATTTATACATATATATATATTTTTTTTTAAGATGGCGTGAGTAGTCTCATCCATCTATCCGTTCCATCAAAATATCTCAAAAATTGCGGCCTGTAGGTTGAACAGAGGGAAGGAAGACAGATGTCTGATAGTTTCGAAGAATGATTTTGAATCGATTGTTACGATAAAAGATGGGTCTATCTCAAGGCCTTCTGGCTGTTGCATACATCCGTGCAAACTTAATATAAATTGTGTAGGGTAAAAATGGTTTTTAAATTGTATCAAAAACCCATGAACCTCGCAGGAAATTGTATAGTAATATAATTTCATTTATGTGCAACGTTTTTGGTAATATATTTAACAGCCTGAACTCGCTATACATAAAAATTTTAATGAATATTAAACAAATAAGGAAATTATATTCAGCCGGCAGCGAATCTTTCTACCCATCACCGTTATCATAAAAAAGACGAAAAAAAACTAAAAGAGCTAAATTTTCACACAGTGCATAAAATGCAGTGGACCCGGAGGATTTTTTCTATTTTCAAATTAAAAGTTTTTCGTCGCATAGGCGTGTGGGTGCTGTAGGCATGTCTTTGGAAAAGTTAAAGTCGTTTCAAAAATCCTTTGTAAATTTGTAGACGATACCTTCGTTTTCGCTAAAAGGAAAATGTTTAGACAGATGTATGGGCAGACCGGTATGTTTTGATGCAGTCCAAACTTGAAACTGGCCACGAATTTATGTACTTCATGGGGTTTTTGAAGTTTTTATAAAGGATTTGAAAAAAAATTAAATTTTGATCCAGTATAATATAAAGTAGGACGAATCAATTTTTCCATTTTTCTACAAGTGCCATAGCATTGCGCATGATCAGCGATTTTTTAATAATCTTGAGTCGTTATGATAAGCAACAAGTGAGATGGTTTGACCGACCAAGCCAATGATCTGTATGGTGAAAGCTTTCAAAAGGGTGCTTTGTAACACAAACTCGTATATGCACCTTTAGTACTTTATTTCCCAGAAACATATGCTTTTAAGAGCATTTATTTATGTCTACTACTTTAAGGACATTCCTCAGTTAATGCGGAGGAATATAATTGTATAACATATAAAAAAATAAATATCAACTTAGTGAAAGTGTAGAAAGGTAAATAATCATGTATATATAAACATATAATATAATATATATAAAGCAAAATATTATATATATTATATTATATATATATAATATAAGTATATCTAAATATTTGTATGAAGCGAACTAATTTTGGGAAACAAGCACCAAATAATAAGAAAATAATTAAGGTGTGCTGTTGTCAAACGACGTTGGTGATAACTTGGTTTGTTTGGTGGGAACTTTGTTCAAAGAGAGAAAACAAATATAATTTCAGATCTTTTTGAATAAATTGAAACGAAAGAACGAAAAAAGATGTTTTGCTACAAAATTTTTACTGTGTGTTCTCTTCTTTCATGACTAATGCTTGTCTATATATTGAATACTACACGTCCTGTTATAAATGCGTAACTGTTTTGACAAAATTCCAAAACTCTCTAGAGGTTAGCCAATATTCCAAGCCTAATTTGAAGGAAGGCAAGCGTAACATATTCGTCTAAAATTTCCCCTAAAAACCGTAATCAAATTTCTTTTTATACGCATTTTAACACGTACGATGCTGTGATTGATCTTTATTTTTGTTGTCGCTTTAGTTGCGTATTTGCGTTTACAGTTTTGATTTTTGTTGTTTCTCATTTCGTCTCGATGTCACGTTTTGACAACATAACAATACCTCGGGGATGGATACAAAAAAATTCTTTATTTTCCTAGAAAGAATGTTTGCAGTTCGATAATTTGCAATTCAAAGGCTTTCTCATAAGTTGTTATCTTGCGAACACCTAGATGTCACTATGGATTTGATTCAGATTCACTGTTCTGTTCATATCTTAAACTGTGTGTGCTCTGGATAAAGTGGTTTTCAATTGTATAGTTCCGAGTCTCTGACACATTTATTTTTACTTCTGTGCACATATAAGAAATGTCGTGCCCGAATCAATGTATGCTTTTTCTTTAGCTTCGCAAATTGCCTTCTTCACACGCACATGCCCTTTAATACTCAGTAAGCAGTGGAAAGTTTTTCAAAAAAAGTCCAAGAAGCAAAAAAAGAAGAAGAATTACAATACTTGCTAAAGCAATAGAAGTATCATATTTGCCAAAGGATAGGCTACTAGAAGTGATTTGCACTGTCTATTTCACGACATTGTTCATTGCAGCACATGTGAAAGCCCATTGAACGCATACGAATAGTTAAAATTGAAGGTAAAGGAGCTCAAATCTCGGTAATAATGTTTCAAGTTTGAGCCCAGAAATGTAAAAATTTCTCTGCTTATGCT